GTAGAGCGTCTGAAATACCAGTGTCAGATGCTCTATCGCGGGCGTGGTTCTTAGGGCGCCCCGCGCCCCCCCGAAACTCATCTTGCGGTTGTCTAGAGCCTTCCTGGAGCGATCTCGGGGCGCTTTTCGTCTCTCCTGGAGCCCTCTCGGGGACCTCCTGGCGCCGTCGCGGGGGTCCGCGGTATAGAATCTGAGATTGCTGTTTCAAATGCTCTACCGCGGGGGCCTTGTCGGGGCGTCTTGCGCCCCCAAAGGGTTGTCTCGGGGCCCCGAGGGCCCTCCTAGTGCCATGTCGGGGCGCTCTCGGGCCTTCCTGGAACCCTCTCGGGGCCATCTTGACATTGTCATGGGGCCCCCGCGGTGGAGCATCTAAAACGGCAGTTTCAAATGCCCTACCGCGGGGAGGGGCTGTCGGGGCCCTCTTGGGCCCCCCAAGGGCTTGCCTTGGAGCTCCTGGCGCCCTCCTCGAACGCTCTCGCCCCCCCCCATGTTTCGCCTCTGGTGACCTCTCGGGGCTCTCCTGGCACCCGCCAGTGCGCCCCTCGGAAGACCATCTCAAACGATTGTGTCAAATGCTCTACCGCGGCGGGGGGCTCTTGGAGCGTCTTGCGCCCCCCAGGGCTAGTCTTGGGGTCTCGGGGGCAACGCGGCGCTCTCGCAGAACACCCGAGGGCGTTTTTGAAGCGTTCCTGAGCAACCCAACCACGAGTTGCAATGCCTACTGGACTTCAATACCCAAATACGTTGAGAAGGCAAGGCCCGAGGATTGAACACATCACATAACCATGTAACGCTGCTCTCCGATGGCTTCCGTGGCCCGAACGCCCGCCCCGCGTGGCCCCGATAAATCAAACAATGCTCCGGGATGCCCTGCGGGGAGGCCACGCAGGCAAACGCCGCGGACAATTTCTACACTCTCCTGCGATTTAAATTTCCAGCGTCGGTCGGTCGGGAGTTGTTCGGAGATGCACCCTCGCGGCCCCCGAAGGCGTCCAAGATGAATCCGAGGCCCCAAAACAACCCAGGAGGCTTCAATGTCTCCCGTTTGTGAAATCAACGCGGCCCTGGTGGCCCCCAGCCAGCGTCCACAACGGCAAAAAGACTGCCCCACCATGGCCCAAAGACCGCTCCATGACGACCGCTGCGCGCCACCAGACGGCCTGGCCAACTCCCGCGACCCGTAACGATCCTCGCGTCGGGACGCCAAGAATACCGCAATGGGCCCTCGCAGAACCCAAAGAGAGCCCCGAAAACACCTCTGAAAGGCTTCTGACGGCCCGAAGACGATCCAACATACTCACTAATACGCCTGCCTTGCAACAAAACGCCTGGCAGCTAACACGCCGAGACATCGATGCAACATCATGTGTTCCTCCTCCTTCTCGTCTTGCTCCTCCGCTTCCTCGTTCTCACTCGCGCCCTGCTCCTCCTTGCTCTCCTCGCCCTCCTCCTCGCCCTCTCTCCTCCCTCCACCTCCCTCCTCACTGTCACCCTCGTGATCATCTCGCCTTTTTCTCCTGGTCGTGCTTCTGGTCCCCCACTCCCCCACCCCCATTTCCCCCGTGCTCCTCGGTTGCCACCCCATCCCATGGGGTCTCGGAAACGGCACGACACTGTCGCGAATATCCTTTTGCACTGGGTCGGAAAAGTGGCGCAAGCCTCACAAATACGGAAATGCGGAACCACCGCGCACGACAACGAGCCTACGACAGCACAGAGCCAGCGACGATTGTGATCCGCCCCCAGACGACCAGCAGACTGGACGGATATGTTTTTTCACTGAAGCTTGAAGGAGCTCGCCCCCTGGAGCCGCGGTCATCGACCACTGACCGCGCTAGCCCGCGAGCGCCCCTGCATGCTATCGCTGACCTTTGTGGCCAGCCGCGCCCCAGAAACAGTTTGAACTGCGATCCCCACCCCATTCGTGTTCCCCCCTCCCTCCTGCCCCCGCCCCCGTCCCCAACTTGGCCTTTACACCGCCTTCTTTTTGAAAAGAGCCTTAAGCTTGCTCTTGTAGGCATCGTTCGAGCCCTGGACGGCCTCGACCTCCTTCTTAGAAGCGCCGCTGCCTAAACTAGGGGTCCAAGCAGCCTTCTTGCCTGCAGGCGCCAGGGACGCCGTGACCAGTTTAGCCTCTGACCCGCTCGGGGCCTTCGAGCCCGCGGCCCTCCCTTTCTTAGAGGGAGGGCCGCTCCCGGCATCCCCGTCCTGAATAGCCTTGCACGACATCAGCTCAGAACTCCTACGTTTGACGCGGTCCTTGATGCTGCTGTTGAGTTGCTCCTGCTCAGCAGGGGTGAGCAGCCACTTAAAACTACGAAGGCGATGGGCGACGGCGCCGATGTCTCCGCCATCGGCGACGAGTTTCTGGAAGTCGGCCCAATCCTGCTGGCAAGCGTCCCGACCGACAAGATCCTTCTTCTTGAATAAGCTGGGGCCCTTCTGGACCGCTGGCACCGCGTAGAAGAATTTCGCGCGGTCCGCCACCTGGGAAAGCAAGGGGCTGGACATGGGCGCGATGTCGCCCGGGCCCTCGCCGTCGAGGATCATGGTCAGGAAATCCACTGCGCCTGTGACCTCCTCTCGAAAGGTCTTCGAGAGCGCGAGGCAGAGCCGGCCCTTGCAATCCTGCCTCAGCTGCCCGATCGCACCCTCGAGGCCCGCGAGGTCTTTGGGGCTCTGCTCGCTCGGCATCAACCCCAACGCACCCTCCGAAAAGATGCGCTCGCCGACAGCCTCTGCGTGCTGCATGGCAAACGAGACCTCGTGGACGAAATCCGGGCACATGCGGATGCACTCCGCCTTGTGCTTCGCCACCGAATCCCTCATTTCGGCGAAAGTCAGCGCGACGGAGCGGGGCATGAGCGAGATGAGGGCCCCCCTAGCGTTCTTGTTTTTCTTCAACACCTGCATCGGGACCTTCACCGTCTCAGGCACGCCGGGGATTCGGCCCTCACCCCCCCAAAGAACCTCTTCCCGCGGGAGCCTCGGGAGCTCCAAAATGTTCACAGCGATGCTTTTGACACGAGCAATCAGCCGGAACCAGAAGTCGTCTCGCAGGGACGCCAGCGTGACCTTGCAGCGCTCCATCAGGAACTCGTGATTGCACTCCTTTCCCGCACGTGATGGGGCGACTTCGCGAGTCACCCCGCCGCGCAACAAACGCAGAACAATCGCAAAACGCAACAAACAACCACCAACGACCCTCGTCTCCGCGAAACTCGGCCCGGGTCCGATAGTAGATTTGCGGAACCTTCGAGTAGCGAAAGGTTGAGGCGCCGCACCAAAATCGATGCCGTTGGCTGTTGGTGGTTGGTTGGCGCAGAGTGGTGCGTGGTGTTTTCTTTTTTGCGCGTTCTCGTTTCAATGTCATTGTGCGTTGCGTCGTGGTGGATTTGCGTGGCGTTGCGTTGCTGTTGATTCGTGTTGTCGTTCGTGCATGGCGTCCTTCTGTTTCGTGGTGTCGTGGTATTCTAATGTGACGCGTGGTGTCGCCGGTTGGTGTCGTTGGATTGATTCGGTTGGGGAGCGTCGTTTCGTTGCGTAACATCGTTTTGTAGTGTGCTGCAGTTGTTTGTTTCTGGTGCATTGTGATTCGCTCGTATTGTGCGGTGCAGTCCTGTTGCGTACATGGTTACTGTCGCTGGTGTTTGGTAATGTTTTATTGTTCTGCGTCGTCGGTTCCATGCCGTTGCGCGGCGCCCCCCTCCGCAAACACAAACGGCTTTGCACCGGCCGTCTGACCCCCGCCAAGCGGCCCGCGCGAAAACGCTTCGTCTTCCCAGAACACAGCCCCCCGAGGCCGTCTCGGACCCCTGTGCGGGCCCTCGGGAGGGACCCCGGAAAACCCGCCCTGGGCGCCGAGGGCAACTCTGGATCCGAACCCGAGACCCCTGGCAACCGACAGGCGCGTCCGCGCGGGCAGAGGACGCGCAGGCACGCGAGGCTCGATGCACCCATCCCGCCGCAAGCCGCCTCGGGACAGGCGGCGGGGGGTGCCCCCGCGCGCCCCACCCAGGCCCCCGAGTTGCCCCGTTGGGAAATGGCCCGCTGGGGGCCAACCCATCCGACCTTCGATTCTACCTGCCAGAATCAACCTGGGCGCGAGGACGCGGCCCAAAGAGGAGAGCACGATCCACCTATCGCACCCCCCTTGGCGCCGCAAAGCGGCACCCCTCGCGAACAAGAGTACGAGGCATGGCAGGGCGCCACATTAACGACAGCAGGAGTAGCGACATCCAGACCAGGCAACAGCGACCTCTCCTTCTTCTGGTACGTCTTGAAGCCGAAAACCGCCAGGTCCCGCATCTCCGCATCCATGAGGTTCTTGAACCCTGCGAAGAATCGCGCTGATGCCACCCCCAATGCCCGCACCTCCCGGCCCCTGCCCTGGGCCCGTTCCCGCGGCCCTCCCCCGCCCTGCAAGAGCAGCCGGAAAGAGACGTCATCGCGGAAAGGGGGCAAGAAAAGGGACTGTCTGCCCGATGCCTTCCAGCTCCGTGTCAGCGTAGTCGTTGTGCTCCAGCTCGTCCAGCATGCTCTCGCAATTGGCCGTGAAGAGGTCGTACTTCATGTCGCCAGCCTCAGCCCTGTAAAGTTCAATCCCGATTTTCGTGCCCAAGAGTTCTTGCACGTCCTCGCGGGCAATCGCCCGCGCCGCCTCCAGGGCCACCTCCGCGCGCTCCATGGAACCTTCGTCGCAGAAGAGCCGCGCGTGATCATCGAAGGCCCTCAAGACGTACTGCCGCTGGTAACCCTTCGCGAACATGTCGCGGATGGCCTCCACGAGAATCGCCTCCATGGTCTCCTTGATGGCACCCCACGCGTCCTGGAACTGCGAATCCAACGAGTTCGAACCAATATGCCCCAAGATCGCTAAGCACATCGCCCGGCTCTGGGCACGGCGGACGACCACGCCCTCTCGGGACTCCCCCAGTAACACAAGCAACGTCGTGCGATCCAAGGCCTTCGAATGGCGAAGGTAGCTCTCTAAGGCTTCGCTGCTCCTCGAACCTTTCGACCTGTCATGAGCCAGAGCCAAGGCATCAATCAAGTCCTGCTCAGGATCCGCGTCCTCCGTCGGGAGAGGCAGGTTGCTGAACATCGGGCTGGTCAAATCAAAATCATCATGCATCTTTTTCCAAAACTCCGTGCTGATGTATTTGCTGGTGCCTTGGAGCCGCGAGAGCTCATTCTCAACCACCGTCTGCAGCGTGAGTCTGTCGGCCCGGCGCCGCGTGCGAATGATGATCTGATCGTAGCTGCTGAACTTCCCCTCGATAGCCCTGGACGCCTTCTCCTCCAAGTCCCGTTCCTTGCTGCGCTGGCTCAGCACCCTGCTCTCAGCGCGCGCCACCTTGTCGTGCTGGGGTGTCGAAGGCGGGGCAGGGTCGACCGTAGTTTTGTGGGCGGACGCTGGCTTCGGCATCGCCTTGGCCTTGGCGCCAACAACCCGCTGGGGAGCGGCGGCTTGCTTCATGGGGCTCTTCTTGGGAGCCATGCCGAGCGCGGGACTCGGCGCCCAGAGGCCCCCCCGATGCACCCTGCAGGTCCAGAACAAAATGTTGCTGCAGGAGTCGAAGACGGATGGGGGACCAAGCCAAAAAAAAGAACGTGGGGCGGAGAAGAGAGCTGCATAACTAGAAGAGCTCATGGTCCGACTGAGCTCCCGTGAACTCCATTACTGCTCCGAGAGGGCCCTGAGGGGTGGTAGCAAGCATCACGCCAAAATTCGTTAAATGGAATTTGGCCAGGTGCTCACCGAGCCGGTCTTGGAAGGCCCGAGAAGTTCACGAGGAGATCCGAGACATCTCCACAAGAGCCCGAAGGTGGTCCCAACAAGGGCCCAAGAGGGCCCGCCCGAACCGTACGATATCTTTGGGTCTCAAGCCACAGCGATGTCATGACAAAATCGTGTGGTATGGCATCGTTAGGTCTGGGTCCACAGGGTACCATATAGTCTGGGAGCGGCCCCAAGAAGGCTCAGCAGGGCCCGAACAAGTCCCCAGAAGGGGCCCCAGACGGGCCCAAGAGGGCCCCAAGAGAGCCCAAAGACTTTAACAGATTTAACGCAGACGACCTCCTTATTGGAGAGCGTGCTGTGTTAAATGTGTGTTTAAGTTTGAGCCCTCTTGGGAATCTCTTGGGCCAGTCTTGGGCCCGAGTGGGGGCCCTGTTAGGGCCCTAAAATGTACCCGCGAGGCCCAAGAATTCAACACACATTTAACACAAACCACCCTCCTTATCGGAGAGCGTGCTGTGTTAAATTTGCGTTACATTTTGGGCCCTCTTGGAGCCACCTTGGGGATCTCTTGGGGCCCTCCTGGGCCCTGTTGGGGCTCTGCTGGAGCCCTCCAGGGGTCCTGGAAGGCCCCCAAAATGGCCAAGACTCGAACACAAACTGCGCACAAACCGCCTCCTTGTCGGAGAGCGCATTGTGTTAACTGTTTAGTTTTATGTGTGTGTGTGCGGGCGGGATCGAGCGGGATTGACATGGGAGGAGGTCGAGGAGTATGCCGGGGATTTCTGCTGGGGTCTCCTTGTTACTCCCTCACTTATCGACCAAAGCTGTTGACAGCTATCTCGTGGAATGTTTCGCGGGGTGTCTCATGGAAGTGCCCGTCGCCCAATGCGGTGTCGTGAAAACGTTTCAATGCATGCGGCTCTATATCCCTTTCCGGGTTAGTGGGTCTATCATGTTTCTAACGGATTAGAAACATGTTGGGCTCCATCGCCAGCTCCACCTTAAGGAAGGCGAGTAGGTGATGGATGAGATGGGGCCAACATGTTCTTAACGCAATAAAAACATGTTGGGCCCCATCGCCATCTGCACCGTGGTCTCCACCTCGTCTGCGGGAACCCTCCGGGGGGCATGAGAGACCCCAAAAATGGCAAATATTTTAACACATTTAACACAAACCGCCTCCTTGTTATAGAGCGTGTCGTGTTACAGTGGAATTATGGTTTGGGCCCTCTTGGAGCCAAAATGGGGCCCTCTGGGGGCCCTCCTGGGCCCTCTTGCCACCCGGCGGGGGACCTCTTGAAGCCCTCGTGGGCCTTCTTGGAGCTCTCTCGGGGCCAGCAGACGGAGGGGTCCAACTTGGCCACTCTTGGGGCTATATTCTTGGCACTATGGGGGTCCTCTCGGAGCCTGAGCGGTTGCCTCCTCGAGGGCACTGGAGCCCAGGGACTGTACTTTCCTCGGGTCCGCGACATCATTTAGCGCACTCTGTGTCCCCAGCGCTATTGTAACGAATCTTTGGCGGAAGCTAGTCGCAGACAAACGAAATTGTTACGTGAGGCCGCCTGCAGCCCAGAGCGCTGATAAGACAAAGCTTATCTATGAAATGATAAGTACATGTTTCGCAGCCCCCAGGGGCCCGAACTTCAACCACCCTCTTGGCGCCATCTTGGAGCACTCTTTGGGCCCTCTTGGCGTCCACGGAGCCCGCTGTGCCGAGAGCCACCGCCAGCCATTGTCAACAGTTGTCGCAAGCAACGCCGCCGAAATCGCCGCCGAAATTGCCGCCGAAATTGCCGCCGAAATCGCCGCCGAAATCGCCGCCGAAATCGCCGCCGAAATTGCCGCCGAAATCGCCGCCGAAATCGCCACCGAAATCGCCGCCGAAATCGCCGCCGAAATGGCCGCCGAAATCGCCGCCGAAATTGCCGCCGAAATTCCAGATTGCGCCGCCGAAAAGAGGCTGTACTTGACCCTGGCGTTGACGTTGCGCCTGTGCGTGCGGGGTTGCCACGCTTACCAAAACAGCGATTTCCCTTGAGAGTGGACAATGGAAATTTCGGTGGAAGAATTTCGGCGGTGATTTCGGCGGCAATTTCAGCGGCTATTTCGGCGGACCTCGTGCAAATTTCGGCGGCGATTTCGGCGGCTATTTCGGCTGCGATTTCGGCGGCGATTTCGGCGGCGATTTCGGCGGCGATTTCGGCGGCTATTTCGGCGGCAATTTCGGCGGCAATTTCGGCGGCAATTTCGGCGGCAATTTCGGCGGCGATTTCGGCGGCCACTTCGGAGATCTTGCTCTTGACAGCTGTCGGTCAATGTTGCGGGGAGCTCCCATCACTCCGCGGTGGTACGGGGTCGATGCGTCGGGCACGCCCGCGCGGGCCTTCAAGGTTGCACGGTCGCTAATGGGCTTGTCTCGCGGCCCAAGTAGCACGATAGACAACCCACGATGCGACATACATAGGAAAGTGAGGTCGACAACCATCGAGGACTTCCGAAAGCGGAAATCATCGAATATCGAACGGTTCACACGTTGTCAGAAATCAAGGCTCGGGCGTGAGTTTCCCAAAGGATGAGTGGGAGGGGAGAAGGCGGAAGGGAGGGAGTTAGGGACGGACTTGGCATGTAGAGGGCTGGGAAGGAGTGGATGGACGTTCTTGGGCCTCTCAGGGGCCTCTTTGATAAGCATACCGGGCCCTCTTAGGGCCATCCTTGAGACATGGGGCGTGATACAGGGGGCTCCTTGGGGGGCTTCATGGTCCCCCCCGGGGGTCGCCTTGGGGCCTCCGAAATTCCCTTGGGGCCCTGTCGGGGGGCTCCCGAACACCCATGAAACCCTTTTGGGGCCATGCTGGCGCCCTCCAGGGGCCCCCGCGGTAGAGCAGCTAAAACGGCCGTTTCAGATGCTCTACCGCGGAGGGCTCTTGGGGCTCTCTCGGGCCCCCTCAAGGCTTGTGTTGGGGTCTCCGGGACTCTCCTGGAGCGCTCTAGTGGCGGCTCTTGGGGCCCCCTGGAACCCTTTTGGGGCCATCCTGGCGCCGTCCAAGGGCCCCCGCGGTAGATCATCTGGAACGGCAGTTTCAGATGCTCTACCGCGGGGGGGGAGGGGGCAGCATGGGCCCCCCATGGATTGTTTTGGAGTCTCCTTGACCTTTTTCGGAATCCCCTTGAAGCCCTCAGGGGCCGCCTTGGAGCTTTCTTGAGCAATGTGACCAACACTTGGAACGTCTGCCTGGGCTTATCGAGTTCATTGAATGCGATAAGACCCGAGGTTTCAACACCGCAGAGACTTTGCTGGAATATTATTGTGAAGTCTTCGGGGCCCTCTTTGAATTCAAAACTCCCGCTTGGGTCACAAGACATCCCAAGAAAGCTCCGAAGGGACCCGAAGGTCCAAGTCCTTCCCCCTACATGGGGCTCCAAAGAGAAATCCAAGACGGCCCGGAAGAGGGCTCGAAAACGGCATCGGAAAAAGGGCCAGACGACCCAACAGCGCCACACTACGTCAAAGACAGCGCCAGGATGTTTCAAGAGGGCCTCAGGAGGCCCCCAGGGAAATCCAAAGGACCCGACCAGAGCCCCAAAGCAGCCCCAAGACGGCACAAGAGAGACCTTCCCCTGTGTTCCCCACGTAGTTACCCTCACGGCCGCAGGAGCACGCAGTCCAGCAAAGCGACCATTCCTGGGGCCGCGCCTTCCCAGCGAGGGCGTGGACCCCGCCCTCAGCACCGAAAGCATCATCACCTCTTCTTCCTCACAGTCCTCCCTCCCGCCTTCCAATTTGTCGGCCTTGCCCCCGCCATGGCTCCAACCGTCAAATCCACTACAAGGGCGAATAGGGCAGGGAGGAAGATGAGAGAAATGAAGAGGAGCAGGAGCGACGACCAAGGTGAGCAAGAAAGGGGGGAAGGAGGAGAGGCAGAGGAGAGCACCGCACGAAGCGCATGCCAAATCGCGAGCGGTGAGCGGCCCAATACTGAAGAATTCGCCTGTTCGGGTCGGTTTTGCGGGCCGGCTGCCCCCTCCGAGGGTCCACATCGAATCGCGCCCCCTCGGCCCCCGCGAGCGCCCGCGGCACTGACCAAAGACAGCGGGGGCAAAACAATTCCAGGAGAAACGCCGGCGACCGAGGGACAGGATGCCAATCGCCCGCGCGGCGCTAGGCGGTAGAACGGCCTCCCCCGTGGAGTCGGAATGTGGTGCCCCCCGAGACGAACAACCAGCAAAGCGAAGCAGTGTGTGTGTGGCCACGTCCGCAGAGCGGCCGCCTCTCTTAGATATGTAAGCGGACCGCTCTCGCCAAACCAACCTGATCATTAGTGCACCGCTGCCGCCACAGCTGTCGCAGAGGGACCCCTGTCGCTTCCACCGGCTGCCGCATGGGCGACGCGAGCGGCACTGAACCTGGAGATTTTCTCTGCGGGCGCAGCGAAGAACGGCGATCAATCATTCCTGGGTTCCACGAGGCCTCCAACGCCTCATCTCCAGAATCCTGGCACATGTATCGCTGTCGATGGGCACGCTCATGGCCCAATCCACCCACTCCGGGTCCTCGGTGTATGAGTCCAACTGCTCACGGGTATAAACATGTTCCAGATCGCTACCGGCCTCCAGCCAAAGTCGATACAAAAAATTGCCACGACGCACCCATCCTCTGGCGAGCTGAACAGCGGCATGCTCAGTATATCTAGTAAATTTGAAAGAGTACTTCCGTTGAAAGCCAAATCGGACGCACCACCTCTCCGCCAGCGCGCGGTTCAAGCAAGCCGCGCAATCTGTCGGCACCCCAAGGTTGGCTTCCGTCCAGGCGCCCCCAGGGATCTTCAAATAGAAGAACTCCTCGTCACCATCAGCCCCCTCGTAA